GCAAGATAAGAACATGTACTTATGTACACGATTCATGATCATTCAACGGAAAACTTCTTGGTCGGCACTTAGCATTGACAAGTCACAACTACATGACCATTCAGTATTTTTTTATTACACCGAACGCTAACACAACCCACACGAGTCAATAAAAAAAAGTTAAACAATTATTTACTTTTTTTCTGCTGACGCTCCGTAAATAACGTACACAAATAAACTTTCTATTGTGCGAGCTGTGTCGAATACTTCGTCGATAATAGCTAGGGCTGCGCGTGTTAGTTATCGATAGAAGGACTTTTATCGAAATGTGCTATTGTTAATGAAGTTTTCATTACATAATATCTTTTATTTTACTTTTGTATCGATAGAAATGACATTTTAACTGCTGTATTAAAAATCAATAGTAGTATTTATATAGGGCTCGAAGTAGAATTAAACCTAATGTACTAACGTCTTTTCATCAATTATTTTATATCACATGCAATTAAGCTTATCGTTAGAATTCCAGACTCCGTGTTATTATTAAAAACCCTTAATACTTTGTCCAAACCGAAATCATTTAATTGATCAAACAAAAAACATCATCAACAGCCTATAAATGCCCACTGCTGAGCAAAGCCTATTCTCACACGGAGAAGGTGGAGCATTAATCACCACGCTTGCTTAATGCGGGTTGGCGATTTTAAACTTTTAACTAGAAATTATAAACCCAGGTTTCCTCACGATATTTTCCTTCGCCGTTTGTCAGTGGTGTCTAAACAATCTTAGAAAGCACGTATAACTCGGAAAAAGTCACATTGGTAATTGCCGTTCGTAGGTTTCGAACCCGCACCCTTATGCATGAGAACTGGGCGTTTTAAACCTCTGGGCCACCACGACATGCAAAACATCGATATCAACAAAATCTCAACCCTACCAACATAGACATGACCTCCAAGCGAAAGTCCACTCTGTCAAAGAGAACAGTGATGTGCATTATAGTCGATAAAACGTATCGATATCCAAGTTACGACAAAAGTTTAGAATCATTGATTTGACATACTTTTATATTTAAAAATGAAAGTTGTCGATGATTAACTTCTTTATATATGGATAACGGTCAATCGAGCCGGTATATTATGTTCTAGATAAATATTATAAAACTAGATTTTGTTCGTGTGTTCGTAAGTGTAAAATAGTTTCTTCTGTCTTAATACTTTCTTCCGTTTTCATTGTACCTGGCCTAATCATGAGTTGGTTACGTGTTGAACCTATAACTTTGTTATAGGTTTTTTTTTTAGCGGGGAAAATCATCGAATGACTCCTCCCGCCTGGGTGAAGCGGGAGAGAGTGTCAGACTCTTACTGATTAAAAACCACCCCGTTCCTTCTCCTGCACGTCGAGCCGGAGCCCCGGTTACCCGTTAGGTTCTCCGCGACTTTGTTACGGGATAAGAAGTAAACGAACTGATAGACCATGTGATTGTAACCAAAGGAGTTATGATTAATGAAAGCGTTGTTTCAAGTTGATTTTTAGTGGGACTGTAAGTGGTATCATTCTGATCAAGCACATTCGTGCTGAAGTATGGCTGCCCTAGTTGAATTTTTAAACTCCCCATCATACAACTCGTTATTTAATAACAGTGGTAACTTTGAAAAACGTTTAGCTTGGCTTAACTAGACGAGGGAGTGTGAGATTTTACTTGACTAAACCATGTTTGTGGTGTCACCATTAAGCCTTGTTCGCACTGCACTAGTATTTTAGTCGAGTAGCGAGTGTTTAGTAGCCTTCTCTCGCTTCTGTCCCAAAATCTAAGCGAGAGAGAGCTGATAAAAACTCGCTACTCGACTGAAATACTAGCGCGGTGCGAACAAGGCTTTAGTGCCTGTAAGCGTCCAGATTCTCTAAATAGAACTGTAGGCGTAATCACGTTTCTTTTTCGCAAAAGTTTCGGCTGTATAAGGACTATAGTTAAGGTGACTAGCTATTTAGACTACTTAAGTTTCAAAAACCTATTATAATCTCAGGATATAGTAAGGTTACGGAGCCGCGGAAGACTTAACGGGTTGCCGGGGCGACGGCTCGAAGTGCAGCAGTAGGAACGGGGTGGTATTTAGTCAGTAAGAGTCTGACACTTCCTCTCGCCTCACCCGGGCGGGCGAAGTAATTGGATGATTTTCGCCCCTCCAAAAAATAGATTATAGTGAGGTTAGCGAGTTTGGCATTCAAAATGGATATTCAAACAAAACCTAACCTTTACAAACGTAATTTAACCTATCAGAGGCCTTAGTATGAGTTTGTTTTACGCTTAAAGTAATCGTAACGAGTACGCGTTCGGCGCTCTGATTGGTTGCTTCATTGGCGCCGGCCAATCAGAGTGCCGAACGCATACTCGTTTCGAATACTTTAAACGTAAATCAAACTTGTACTAAGGCCTCAGTACATACATCTCACGCGCATAGAAAGTGATAATTCCGTCCCATTTAAATCAAGCAAGAAAACTAAGAAATCTGCCGTTACCCTTATACTCTCCGATCACATGAGAAAAGAAATTCATGACTACTATAATTATTTTACCGTTTGCATAGAATTAGCTCAATTTTGCTACCTCTTCGGCGCAGGAGTCGATCTAGCGTGATTAGGCGACGCCATGACAGATATATGGCTATCTCTTTCACTCGTATGAGTTTATTATTGCTGTCTCACTCTAAACAGTTAATGAATTAACTTTTATTGATTAATTTAGTATTCAGATCTGGATGCAAGATATGTTAAAGTTGTTGTAGTTGTAGAATTCTGTTATATTTATTTTACCACGGATTTTCCTTGTAACACTTACGTGATTGTAGGTCATATAAGGTCTCTGGCTTAGGTCCTAATAGGATAATAAAGGGTGTATAAAAATTAAAAATGTAATTAGTCCGTCAGTTAGATAATGAAAAAATATTAGACACATTTTTTTAGTTTGTCGTATAAGAAAACAATACTTAGATAAAACGGGGTTAAGTTTAGAAGATCCGAGGTCGTTACGGTACGCTACCCTATAAAATGTAGTCGCGGAGAACCTAACGGGTAACCGGGGCTCCGGCTCGACGTGCAGGAGAAGGAACGGGGTGGTTTTTAGTCAGTAAGAGTCTGACACTCCCTCCCGCCTCACCCAGGCGGGGGCAGTCATTCGATGATTTTCCCCCCTTAAAAAAAACGCCTCACCCAGGCGGGGGCAGTCATTCGATGATTTTCCCCCCCTTAAAAAAAAAAAAAAAAAAAAAAACCCTATAAAATGTACACAAACAACACAAATGCAACTGCTGAGCAAGGAGTCCCGAGCTTAGTACTATTAGTATTTTTTCGGTTTTTTTTTTTAAATATTGCACTAGTAGGTAGTATCGAGCGAAGCGCTGAGTCCTCGCAACCCAGCCATCGCGAAGGACACACCGGGCGTCGGGGATCGCGGGACGATCTCCGGCCACCGTAAGTGCGGGCCTGCGGACGGCGAGCATGGGTGGCTCCCCGTCCGACCAGAAACAGACCAGAGCATACGGCGCGTCGCGTTCTGACCGCCATCAGACCACCACGGATGGGGCCCAACACGGCTGATGCTGATGTCGCGGAGAACCTAACGTGTTACCGGGGCTCCGGCTCGACGTGCAGGAGAAGGACCGTGGTGGTTTTTAGTCAGTAAGAGTCTGACGCTCCCTCCCGCCTCACCCAGGCGGGAGCAGTCATACGATGATTTTCCCCGCTTAAAAAAAATCCTAAATATAGGAATGTTTGCAAATGCAAGGGTGAAAGATTTTTACGCAGTCATCTGTCGGAAATCAGCCTCAATGATTCGGGGCAGCGTTAACGGAATCCTGGGCATGATTCCTGATAAGTCAGAATCTGCTGTTTTGGGAAGATATGCTCATCTGTATGTGAAGGCATGACTCTGACTCGTTGTATCATTCGACATTGTTTGATTATTTTGCAATTTTGATTACAAATAGATACTGACATAACTTTTAAGACATTTGTTATATTTACTGCCTCATTGAACAAGTGGTCGCAAGTGCGACTGCCGGGCAAGGGGTCTCGGTTTCGATTCTCAGGTCGGGCAAAGTATTGCTGGGTTTGTAAAAACCTCAGTAGTAGCAGTAGCACGGAGTCTGGAAATGTGCCCGGTATATAGGCAATAGGCTCACCCCCTATTACATGGGACTCATAACATAAATAGTGAAAAGTGGGTGTTACATCGTACAGTGGTATTAAGTGCCTTAATGTGCACCTCTGCCTACCCCTTCGGGGATAAAAGGCGTGATGTTATGTTAAGTTGTTACTAACAATATTTGGACAAAGTTAGTCTGAAATAAATAAATTTATTATTAATATTATAGGATTGAGAAAAGTAGACATTGTGAATAAATTCTTTCAAAAAGACTTCAAATGGTTTCTTTTTCATTACATTTTTAAGTCAGTTGTATCAGAACAGACATAATTGGAGGGATTTTGAATAAACTAATTATCTGTTAATTCAAAATTGGAACAATTTTTTCGGCATCACAAACTTTCCTTTTTATATAACGAGCGGAAAATAAAAAAAACAATGTCCCAAATCGACTGCCAATCTCTTCCTAAGGTCTCTTATCTATAGTCAGATAACAAAAGAGGACGCTATTGCATTGTCTATGATAAATACCTGATCAATGATCAGACCACATTTCTAAAGTTGTTCGTTTCACCATTTCAACGTTAAAAAGAAATGTCTATCTATCTCACTCTATCATATGCCTGTCTCTCACAATTTCTCATTTCACCGTTCACTTGTTTAACAAGTCTGTACTAACTATTCAAGAGTCGCATCTGGGATTTTACTTCAAGCTATTTTAAGTTCTGTATCTAGAAAGTTATGGTTCACTTTTTGATGGTGAGTGAAAGTAAGATGGGACTGTGTCATAGTAAGTTGTTGCTAGTAATATGTATGTTTCTTATTTTACAGTGTTAAGTTGGTCAGTTGGCTAGTAGGTTCGCAGTGTTGACGGCGGACGGACGTCTCGACAAACTGTAGAAAAGCATTTAAAATATTTACGAGAAAAATGTCGAAAAAATCTCGTGGACGCCGTTAATAAAATAAGATCACCATTTATAAAATTAAAAAAATAATACAAACAATGTGAATGAATGTGTTTTGAAAATCGAACGTAAATAATAGAGTTTCGATATTTGTTTTTTAATTAATTTATTAGTTTTTAGTTTCGCGCGCGCGCGAATTTTAATTAAACGTCAAAATGACAGTTCGAAAGTGGTTCAAATTTGGAAAATCGTTGAGGAGCAGTGATGTGAAAATGTTGTTTTTGATTTTAGTGACACTATCCGTATTGGACAATTTGCCCTTATCCTGTAAGGGCGAAGAATATAACAGAGGTAAGCTTAAATTATTTTCAATATTAATTACATTAACACGGTTCTTAAAGACCTTTTGTTTTAAAAAACTTTGCTTCAGAAAACCAATTTAATTAATTTAGAAACCAAAGTAAGTTTTACCAATTACAATAAGCCAAAGAAGGTACTAAAATTCAAAATCCAAAAAGAAAAATAAATTTCACACTATGACCTCTAAAAAACAAACAGTTCCAAATTCAAACATTCCACGAAAAAAGCTACAAAAGAACTTTCCTGTGCATGTCATTCTTGTTCATGATGATGACAGATAAAAAAATAAGTAATAATCATGGACAAATATCATAAAGCAACCTGTTCACGTTGCTCGTTGGCGCGAAAGTTGTGACCGCGCGTGAGAAATATGTCACTGTGACAGCTGTGTATAGACAGCTTTAGTGATAGATAATAAATTATTATTTATTTTATGCACTTTCATAAATTACCTGTATTTAATGTGTACATGTATAAATTACCGGCTTATTAGTCAAGTGGTGGTCATATAACTAAATATGGAGTATCAGGTTTGATTGTTGGGTTTATAAAGTTTGACGAATCTTTTGAGATTGTCACTAATGAGCTCATGACTTTTTTGAGAGGGGAAAATCATCAAAGTCAAAGTCAAAATCATTTATTTCAATTAGACCAAGATGGCACTTTTGAACGTCAAACAACAAAAATTTATAAGTGAAGCTAGTTGCTCATTCCAAGGCGTAGATTCCTATGGAGAAGAACGAGCAAGAAACTCCATAGGTTACTCTTTATCAATCAAATGATTCATCAAATGACTCGTCCCACCCTGTATGCGGGGAGAGGGAGTGTCAGACTCTTACTGACTAAAAACCACCCTTTGTGCTCCTCCAGCGCTCCAGTAACCCGTTAGGTCATCCATCCTTCTGTAGTGGAGATGTGACGACCTGGCGGTTGCCAGGTCCGGTTCAAAGAAGGAGTAGGAACGGAGTGGTTTACAGTCTCGCCTAACGCAAGACCGGAGAAGTTACTGTATGATTTGACCCCCTTTAACCCTTTGAGTACCGTCAATATAGACACAATAAAGCAGGGCTGTGAAAAATATGTCTCTAAACAGTTAAATGTCACTTTTCTTAAAATGTTTACTCGAACAACAAAATGGTTTGACCGCACCATTCAGCAAACGGTGGTTTAAAACCGCATGCAAGTTAACGTTTATTTTATAAACCTGTGTGTGAGGTTATAAAGCCTAACATTAGTACATACGTCCATCGAGTTTGTTACCTGAACGTGTAAATAAATAGAAGTGGATTTTTTTACGATGGCTGGAGATCGTGCCGTGGTCCCCGACGCTCGGAGTGTCCTTCGCGACGTCGCTACCTCACACGCCCTTAGTTTCTTCTTCTTCGCTGCCTCCTTAGACAACAGAGACCAGTGCCTTTAGCCAAACGCCACTTTAGCGCTTGTCAGTCTTGTACAGAGAGAGTAGAAATCAAAATGTATGGGGATGACACTGATAAGTGTCAAAATTTACGTCAATTCCATATAATTTGGTTTTCTATTCTACATGTAGACAAGCGCTAAATGGCATTTGGCTACAACTGCTGATCAGAGTACGCTCTGATTTGTTGCTTCATTGGCACCGGCCAATCAGAGTGCGTACTCGTTTCGAATACTTTAAAAAAACGTAATACAAATTCGTACTAAGGCCTCAGGACTGCTTCAAAAAGACGTGCATAGGACTTATATTTTAAACGACCTACTTCCGCGTGGTCTTAACCGTTCTGCTCAGTGTCTATTGATCTTAGTGTGGTGTTGTAGCTTATAGCCTTCTTTAATAAATAGGCTATTCAACACAAAAAGATTTTTTCAAATCGGAGTAGTAATACCTGAGATTAATGCGTTCAAACAAACAAACTATATAACTGCTCAATCCCCAAGAGGTCACCGATGATCGCTCCCCACCAACTCCATTATAGACCTTATTTCCGATGTTTAGAGACTACTTTTGTATGAACAAATTTTGAGGATTTTCGGTACGATTTATCAACATAATAATTAAAAAATAAGGTGGACAGAATAATGAAAATCTAGGTTTGTGTAATGAAAAAACAGTAACCTGCGGAGGACTTACCGGGTCGCCGGGACTCCGGGTCGAAGAGCAGGTGTAGGAACGGGGTAGTTTCAAGTCAGTAAGAGTCTGACACTCCCTCCCGCTTCACCCAGGCAGAAGAAGCAATTCGATGATTTCCCTCCTTAAAAATAAATAAAAACGAAAGTACTTTTTTGCAGATTTTGCAAAGACCACCTTAATCAATGCAATGAAAGTAATTTTTTTGATTTTCAAAATTCTAGATTTGTATATATCTAGAATACGGCAATAAACTCATTTTTATCACATAGCCAATAATAGCCATCACGACATAGGACCATGGTGAAACGTACAGTGTTAAATTAAATACTGCCTTCTGGCAGCAGGTTCACGCGCGTTCCCGTGGGAAAAAACAGTTGCCTGTGTGTCATTCCAGAACCACAACCTTCCAAATATCATCTCGATCCCTTCAACTGTGTTGACGTGAAAGAGTAACGAACACACAGACATACCTCATCACAAACTTACGCTTTTATAATAAGTATAATTAGAATTAAATTTATTCATGATAAATGTCCATTCACACGCTCGAAGCGCTTCGCATCAAGCTTCCTTGAGTGTACTGCTAAGGAGTGGAATTATTTGCCAGAGTCTGTTTTTTCTGAAGGGTATCTTCAAGGCCCAAGTGAATAGGTTGCTTATGGGACAATGTGCTCCCTCGTAGACTGCATCATCGCTTACCACCAGGCGAGATAGTGGTCAAATATCGGCCCATCCATTATATAGAAAAAATATGTATAGTCGGTTGTCTTCGTTTGCCAACCTCTTCTTGAAATAAAACACGTGATATTATGTGCAGTAAAAGTTTAATATTAATACTTAAACTTTATATGGCAACATTAATGTATTACGATTAATGTACGGGGTGATTTATTACAGAAAGTCCTACTTTCACCTTTCTTTATTTACAACCTTGTTGGTATATATATTTATAGTGGTCTGATGACAGGATTACTGATTTTACGACTCAGACTCGATGTAACTAAATAATTGTATTATTGTGAAATTGTTTTTTATAATAACTATCGTGAGACATAAGTAAAAACGCGGGTTACTCACGGGTGTGCTGCGCGACGATTGAAAAAGAGTAACTTATAGAGTTAACTTACTTACTGTGCCCAGCTTAAACTGAGTTGGCGAGCCCTTTCGTCGTGGGCATGCTGCCCCCTGTTGCTCTTTTATTTTCCTGTTTTATAATGTTTTTTTTTGTGCTTTTATTGTTTTTTTTTTTTTAATTTTTCATGCCTGGTGGCGAATAAATTATCTTTCTTTCTCTCTTTCTTCTTTGTTTCAGTTTCTTGCTCGTTCTTCTCCATAGGAATCTACACTCTGTAATGAGCAAATAGCTTCTCTTTTAAATTTTGTTGACATTCAAAAGTGCCTACTATAATTGAAATAAAAAATTTGAACTTCGATTTTCAACATCAACTGCCTTCGACAGTCCATTGTGGGTCTGTGTGTTTTCTGTATATAGGATAGTTTGCCGTATAACCTCTTAACTTGGCAAACGGATTAAAAATCATAGCAGGTTGGTTAGCCAGATAAATAAGTAGTCCTTTAAAATCAACATGGGAAGATTATCTTTATTTAGCATCACAACACAGCTATGACAGATGACTAGCATATTACTGCCTTTTTTTTATTGCATAAGCCGGTAAACGAGTAGACAGACGGATCACCTGATGGTAAGCAATCGGCGTCGCCCATGGACACCTGGAACACTAGAGGCGTGACAAGTGCGTTACCGGCCTTTTGGGGATTGGGAGTTTGAGGATCGTTGGGGATTCAGGAATTGGGGAGATTATGGAAGGGGAGGGTAATTGGGCCTCCGGTAACCTCACTCACGGTTGCTTCACGTCGATTTTCTGTGAGGCTGTGGTATCACTCCGGTCGAGCCGGCCCGTTCGTGTCGAAGCATGGCTGTCTCACACTTATGACTAGTTATACTGTAGATATACTGTCTCGCAGTTTCATCCAATATTTAACTCGATGGTTGGGTGTGGGAGATGGCTCACCAAAGCCGCCATGCTTCCAGCCGCCTCGAATGGAGTGATCCTACGGCCTCACAGAAAACCTGAGTGGGCGAGGATACTGGAAACCTAATTACGCCTATTTTTAAAAATATTGGTCCACACTATGATTTTCTCCTGTATCATGGGTGCGTCTACAAATATGCAAGTTCACATGCACTTCACACACAGACCAGAAAAACAATTTGTGGGTCACACAAAGCTGCTCCGCGCGGGAATCGAACTCGCTACAAGTTGCGTGGCAGCAGGTTGCCCAGCCACCGCACCAACCGTGCAGATACAATATTACATTAACAATATTATTAAATAGGTCACAATATTGTATTAAGTATATTACGTTTGTCAAAAAAAAAATTCGCGAAAACCGAGCAATCACATCACTATTCGGACCACGTAACAAGAAACCCGGTTATACATCGGAACTGGTCACAACACTAATGGGTCCACTTTTTCGGCCGACCAAATGAGGTTGATTAAATCAAGTTTAATTTTTTAAGACTGTAACTAACGGATTGGTGTAGGAATCGGACCTTCTTTTACTAAGGTTTTAGGTCCGATTCTTAGGGTTGAGTTTGTTCCTTGTGGCAGTTTTTTGTAACACTAATCTATATATATAAAAGAAAGTCGTGTTAGTTACACCACTTATAACTCAAGAAAGGCAGAATAGATTTGGCTGAAAATTGGTAGGGAGGTAACTTAGAGCCAGGAAACCGACATAGGATGCTTTTTAACCAATACTTATTTTTTACTTTTTACCGAAAATCACGAACGGGGACGGGAAAAAATGGGATTACGCGTACGAAGTCGCGGACAGAAGCTAGTTATATATATAT